CCATCCATCCATCCATCCATCCATCCATCCATCCATCCATCCACCCACCCATTTATCCATCCATCCATCCATCCATCCACCCACCCATTTATCCATCCATCCATCCATCCATCCATCCATCCATCCATCCATCCACGACTCTTTGCTGACCACGGAGTCATGAGCATCTGCTGCTAAGGACTACACTAGAGTTCTGGACAGGATGTGGAAAGGAAACCATCACTGGCCCTGCTATCAGAGTATAGGACACTAGGGGAGATGGTGATGAATAAAAATATCGCCTAAATAATGGTATAATCACAACCAGGAATATGACTGATGTAGTCGTGTTTTACAAGGGGAAACAACACAGGACACATAGTTTATAAGGTTATTTTATAATAGTCACCCCAAGTGTCATATGCAAAGAGTACAGGAAATCTGTCCACACACTAAAGACCCCAAGAATCCAGCTGAGGGCCTGGATCCCATGGCAATGTCCTGCATGAGTCCAGCTGAAGGCCTAGAGCCCATAACAATGCCTCCCAGCAGTCCAACTGGAGGCCAAGAGCCCACAACAGTGTCTCATGCATGCCTGTTTCACGGGTCTGCGCTAAGAAGGCTCCAAGGTCAGTGGTGGAATCTGGGAAGTCTGCACCAGCGGGATGAAGGATCTGTGCTAGCAGGCTGAGGGATCTACACTGGAGCCAGGAATTGACACTCAAAAAAGAACCAGAGCTCCCCCAAACAGTACCACAGCCATCCTCAGCAACAAGGTCCCAATCCCCTCCAACAATGAGAACAGCTGAGTCTATATCAGGAAAGCCAGTGCCACAAGCTTCTCCAGGACAGTGAACACCATCTTCCCCTCTGGGGCCAGGAAGTGATGTTCAAAGTAAGGATCAGGGCTCTCCCACAGTGACTGCAGCCATTCTCAGTGCCAGCACGGTCCCGAGCTCCTTCGATGAGGAGAGTTCATCAGGAAAGCCAGCACGACAAGCTCCTCCAGAAGAACCTACAGCTCCCTAACAGCTTCTAAAACTTCTTCCTCTCCAGGTCTGCCTCTTATGATGCCAGCAACAACCCTCAGGTGGCCCTCCATACCCAGTGCCACGCTGGTTCCGTTCAGCTGGGTGTTACAAGCTGACCACCAGTTGTCAGTCCACCACACTGATGAGGGTAACGTGCTAAGCAAGAGTGCGCTGCACAGCGACGGTGTTTGCTGTCCCAGGGTCAGCTGGCCTCCTCCAGGGAGGGCCTGGGCACGGACGGTGGGAGTTAGCCAGGTGGGCGTCTAGGCGGGAAGCTGCGCAGGTGGGGGAGGGAAGAGGCTCCCCTCCAAAGGAACAGAGCCCTGGGGTGGGGGTGGGGAGGAGCTCAGAGGCCCCTTGTGCTGGGCAGAGACCAGTGTGGGCCTGGGGACAGGACCGTGTGCCCATGGCCCTGTGGCGGGCTCGGTGAGCTGGTGCTAGCCGTGGTGTCCCAGAGATGGAGCAGCAGCAGAGCCCACAAGGCAGGAGGTGCAGGTGCCAGGGAGGAAGTGTGCAGGGAGAGAAGCTCCGTGAAGGAGCCGGGGGAGCCCACGCCAGAGCAGCACCCAGATGCGCAGGCGCAGAGCCCGGGCTGCGGCTCCTGTTGGCATCTTCTCCTCACTGCTGCTGTTCCAGGGGAGTGACAGGTCTCTGTGTTGCTCTGTCACAGGACAATGATCTGGGCCGCAGCTGCAGATGGAAAGGTCCTTGGTCCCAGCCCTGCCAGGTGACGTCAGGTGCCCCAGCTCCCCGAGTGTCCCATCCACTGGCTTGTCCCCTGTGAGGGACGCCTTGGCAGGTGTCCCCTAGCAAGGGTGGGAAAGAGGGCGACGTCACACACAGGCGGGCAGGCGCCCCTGTGCAGCCCGGGCTCCGCACTGCCTGCTTGCTGATGCCCACCCTGTTTCTAGGCAGGGGTCACAATCTGCAGTTCGGGCCAGGTGGGGAGCACAGAAGAGACGCCCCACCCGTTCCTCCAGGCCAGCCTCGCGGGTGGCTGCAGCGGTCCTGTGTGACACCAGGGGCTCCCTGCTGAGGCGCAGCTTCTCTGGGGAGTTCAACACCCCGCCCCCCCCCCCGGCTGCCCCTCTTCTGCCTCCAATTTAACCACAGAGCAGAAGGCAGCAGCTGTGCACTGGGGAGCGGCAGGCGCGGGGCAGTCTGCAGGGGAGCAGAGGAAGCTTCTGAGAGGCAAACAGCTCTCGGGACCACGGGCATGGTAACATTTCAGCGCTGGGAACCAAGCTTGGTCTTCAGATCTCACAGCTGTACCCTCAGCGGTCACTTTAGTAACACAGCGGGAAGAGAACTGCATGGACACTGCTCGCGTGCTTGTGCTACCCAGCAAAGTACGTGCACACTTCCAGCGTGGCAGGTGGATCTCCCATCAGGCCCCGGGGTCTGTCTCCCCACCTTTGGACTCTGGAACGGGCCACGACTTGCTTGGTGATAGTTGACAGTGCAGCTGGGCATGACGGTGCACGCCTGTCATCCCAGCATTCTGGGAGGCTGAGACAGGAGAATTGCAAGTTCAAGCCCAGCCTGGAAACTTCACCACTTAACACGATCTTGTCTCAATATAAAATAAATACGAAGGTTTAGGGGATGCAGCACACAGTCTGAAGGAATGGGACCTCCCTGCGATTCTGAGCTACGAGGTTTTGGGGTCAACTATCACCTCATCTCCCTCCCCCTCCCCCTCTGCACCATCTTGCTCAATATTCACAATGATCTGGCAAGGTTCTTATTAACTTCCCATTTTACAGGTGAGCAAACTGAGCCCCGGAGCCTGCAGTGCAAGGCTGGAAGTTGTGCTCACCTCTAAGTGGCCGTCGGGTCAGGTTCTCCCATTTGCACTGGCACAGCCGGCTTCAGCGCTCTGCCCACTGGGGTGGGGCACGGTCTCCAGAGAGGCCCAGAGTCCTCAAGACAACGGAGGCCTGGATGCTGCCCGAGCTTCCTCATCGGGCACAGGGACCTCGAAGAGCGGGTCCCACACTGCAGGCTGCTCTGTGCAGTTGGCGCAAGAGCACGGCAGACACCATGAGGGCTGTGCATGTGTCACCTGCTGCTGGGTGACAAGTGACCCCCAAGTGTAACAGCCGAAAGGAAACAGAGGTAACCAGAGGGTCACAGTTCCGCCTCGGGCCGGGGCTGCTGTCCTGGAAGCGGCGGAATCGCTCGCTCCTGAGTGTGTCCCTGCCGGCAACAAGGCGGCTGTTTGCTTCCCTGGGAGGGAGAGCAAGGGAGGTGTGCAGAAGAGGGAGGGCGGAAGCAGAAGGGAAGAAGGAGGAGGGAGGCAGGGAGAGAGCAGGACACAAACGCGACTGAAAATAGCGGGGGCAGCTAGCGGGACCTGACCCCCGAACTGCTGCGCCCTCACGTTTCGCTGCTGATCCCGCAGTAGCGCGGCTTGGGGCGGGGAGGACGGCGCAGAGCGGAAACAGGAGCGGCTTGGTCGGCCCGGGCTGTGCAGCCGGGGCTTCCGACGCCGCCACGCACCGGCCACCCCACACAGAAACATCTTCAGGAGGTGCGGCCACCTGCGCCCCAGCAGCGAATGGCTTCAGGAGGGACACGAGGCCTGACAGCGGAGGGGACCGAGCAGCTGAGGTGCGGGCTCGTTTCGCAGTGTCGTGGAGCACACTCACGTCCCTGCGGCCGTCCCCGCCGGCCGTCCCCGGGACTTCTCTGAAACTTCATTCTCTAAAATGCTACTTCGTATTTCCATCTCAGTGTGAGTGGCCACTGTTCTCCTTCCTGTCTCTACGGATTTCACTGTAGATGCTGCCCACAGGGGACCCCTGTGGTACACTTACCCATTGGTGACTGGCTAATTTCACTTCGCAGTGTCTGCAAGGTTCACGCACAACGTACCCGGTGTCAGAATTTCTTTCCTGTTTGGGACTGAATAATATTCCATTGTATGGATTTGCTATATTCTGTTTATCCCTTCATCTAAGACAGATATTTGGGGAGTTTCCACTTTTGGGCTATTGTGAATATTGTTCTAGGCACAGAGTGTACAAACATCTCTTTAAGATGCCTTTTCAGTTCTTTGGGGCACACACCAGCATGTGGACTTGTTGAGTCAGAGAACACGTCTATGTTTAGATTGTCTATGGAGCTACCGTGGTCTTTCCCACAGCAGAGGCACCATTTCTCATTGCCTCTAGTGGGGCAAACGGTCCCAGTGGCTCCGTGTCCTCCTCACCAGCCTTTGTTGTTTTCTGTTCTGTGGTAGCAGCGTCCCAATGCGGGCGGAAGTCTTCACTTTGTAGACTGGAAACCCGGGGGTTAGTAAGTGTCAACAGTTTGCTTAAGATCACCCAGCCAACAAACGGCACAGCCGAGAGCTGTCCTCAGGTGGTCAGAGCCCAAGGAGCTGGGCTGACCCTTTTCCCTCAGGGGGATGGTGCACAGCCTCAGGCTGACAGAGACCCTTGCTTCGGTTCGAAGCTGTGCGTTGTGATTTCTGTTGCTTGTGCTTTCCCTAGGTAGGGATGAAGCAGAGGATATGAAATACCTCCATCTGCAGTTGGTTTGGTCACAAACAAGTCAATAACCGGGAACAGACAAAGTCAGAATAACTCCCGCCCTTCAGGGCAGATGCCAAGGGACCCGGATGAGGATAATTTTGGAAGCCAACTGGAGAGCTGAGTTATTGCTTGTCTTGACGCTTCCTGCTTTCGGTTGGGCCTGGAAATGGAAGTGCCCGGCCCTGCCAGGAAGTCTTCGCTCGCGGTTTTACTGGTCAGGGCTAATTTAGGAAGTGCTGGAAATCTCACAGAAACCCCTTGGGAAATTTTTACCTTGCTTCCCTGTGTAAAGTGTTCTACTCAGTTACAAAACCTCAGAGCTGACATCTGGGGTCCCTGCTCGCTGAGCTGGGGGTGAACCTTGTGTCTGTTCCCAGTGCAGGCCTGTGGTACAGCCTGGCAGCATGGGCATCTTGGGGGACCAGAGGAGGTGTAGCTGGGATGCCCATCGGCTGGGGCCAGTGCCCACTGTGGAAGGACTGCCTCTCTCCTCAGAAGAGCTTGGGGCTCACAGGAAGTGGCTTGATGACCCCAACCCCCAGCTGGTGAAGAGGAGTCAGCCCCAAATCAAACCCAGTGGGTGCCCCAGACTATTTATCTTGGCACCCTTCCTCCCTTTCAGAGGAGAACTGGTGAAACAGTTCTCTCCTGGGTCTGAGGAGAGAGCTCCGTGGTAGAGCACACGCCTAGCACACAAGAGCTTCCTCCCGTCCAAACACAATAGGAACGAAAAGTGGGTGGTGATTCATTTCTTGAAGGAGATTTGAGGCCTTAGGGTAAGTCAAGAAAACTTGAATGCAGCACACTTGCGGCCCGAAGTCCACGCTCCGGCGTCCTGGGACTCCCTCCTCGCACACGCACCTGCAGCCCACCTGCTCCCGGGCTCAGGACCGCTGCTCCCCATCCCGCCCATGCCCCCTACAGTGTCTGCTGCTCTCCGCACGGGACCAGGTCCTGTCCTTCAGAGCCCGCAGCACGTGCGGGGATCCTCTCATCACGAATCACCACGGTCCTGCTGGCTCCCGGCACGTATTGTTTCTCCTCCAGGAAGCCGTGTGGGTAAAAAGCTGGCCAGTGAGGAACCCCTGGAAATTCCTCAGAGACGCAGAGAAGAGGGGAGCGGAGGAGGAGAACACAGGCTCTGTGCAAGCCAAAGAGGGAAGAGAGGCGTGAACTTGCACCAGAAACGGAGTCTGATCTGGAATTGAAGACCTGCATGACGGAGAAGGGAGGCTGAGGCAGAGCGTGTGGAAGGTCCCGCTGCCTAAGGGGCAGTCCTGGGTAGGACCAGTGCCATACCAGACTGGACGTGTGCGCAGGATCAGAATAGTGACCCTGTGTCCTCAATGCATTCCTCCATGAGACAAAGAACGGAAAGGAAACACATACCACTGTGCACACAAGTTTAAAGTCAACCTTTACTGACTGGCTTATTTAATAACTATCTTTAGATATTTGCTGTGACTCAACTCCTGCCCTCATAGAGCAGGTAAAGAACAAATGTCAGAATCAGTCCATTTTCTTGACACTTAACATCCGTTTTGCAAAGATGCCTAACAATTAATAGATTTGAGAAAGTGGACTGACCTTTAACCCTGGAGAATGAGGTCCTACAGACACAATTTCACATTTTTGTCACATTTTCTCTGTGGTGATCACTCTTTAAGGGCAGAAGATGGAGAGATAAATTTGTAGTTCGTGTTTTTCCTCCTTAAAATCAATTTTAAGAATCAAGAGCTATGTGTGCCATGAAGATTAATCTGATTCAACCTCTTTGAAAAACTAAGAAGAAAAACTAAGAAGAAGAAACTCCGGTGTTACTCCTTATCACAAAGACAGAAGTGTAACCCGGAGTCTCTGGTTTTTTATTCTGTGTCTCAAATATGTTCTTAGCAACTTGGAAATTATATGTCATGTTTTCAAACTCAATTTACATATTCAGTATCATTTTGAGCTAGAAAAGCTAGAATCAAAATATTGCTTCCCCCTGGAAAGGTAGGTATTAAGCCTGGTGGTATCTCTAGCATTAGTCATGGCGCTGGCTTTGAAGGCTAACTTCACACTCCCACCGGGCAAAGGGTGACTTGCTAAGGCTGGCGGATGGCATGCCACTGAGGGGGAGAGGCTCTGACGCTATGTCACACACACACACACACACACACACACACACACATTCACACCACGATGTTGCTCCAACGTGGGATCCCTGATGCCCAGGTCCCGGGAGCTTCCTGGCTCTTCCCAGCAGGAGGTGCTGACATCCTCTCTGCCCCTTCCAGACTGGGAGTACTGCCCCTCACCCCACTGGGTCAGGAAGACAGTGTCCTGTTTTAAAGGATGGTTCTGTTTCCAGAGGTCTAAGTCAGTCATAGGAGTAAATTCTTGCTCTGTTTGGGAGACACACTGATTTGACGTTTTAGTAGCTGCTGTAAGCTGGTCATAGCAAGAGCCTTGCTTCCCTCAACAGTGCGTTTCTGAACAGGTGACAGCAACCACAGGACATCACCTGCCCCCGCCCAGGCAGTGAAGGTAGGGATGGACCTGACAGCTAAGCAGCGGGGGACCAACCATGCAGTGGCCCCTTGGAATCAAGGGGGAGCAGGAGCCATGGGGGTAAGAGGTGGCCCGAGGAGCAGGTGGCAGCTTTAGGTTTTCCTCTGTGTATCACAGTCCTCTGATGCTGGCCTGGCCCCTGAGGAGTCTGTGGGATACGACCTTGCGGGGTTCTCTATGCTTTGGGACTCCCAGGGATCCAACTGAGAGCAGCTGAGCACCCCCAGCCAGCTGGGTGGGGACGGATGCCCAAGTCGAGGGACCTGAGGAAAGAGCCCCCAAGCAGCTGTGGCATCAGGAGGTGGGGTGGGTAGGCTACAATACAGGGAGGACTGAAGTATAAGCTGAATGTTCGAGGAAAAGTTTTAGAATGTTTCACAAAGACACATTGCCACTAACTTACCTCAGAATAGTTCTCCTCCCTTCGAACACACTTGTCCTGTCAGTCTTACCGCCTTCTGAAGCAGCCCTGGAAGCCTCTTTCCTGAGTAGCTTTATGAAGTGTGATCAAAAATATGGTGAATGCTGCTCCTGAACGCCATCCAATAAAAAGGCAGCTTGTAAAAACATGCCGCTGTGTCCTCATCCACCTTATTCAAGAGATCTGGCACTCTGTGACTCTGACTTTTCCCAAAGGAAAGGAAAACGTGTGTGACTCTGACTCTTCCCAAAGGAAAGGAAAATGTGCGTGACTCTGACTCTTCCCAAAGGCAAACGTGTCCATGACAGGGAGAAGGTCTGAATGCTTTGAGGGAATCCAGGCAGCCACAACAGCACAAATAAAGACTCGTGCAGGGAGACTTGCAGAACTGCTCCAGAAAGTGGCAAGGACAGGGGACTCAGTGTATGGGAAGCGAGGAGGAGGATTTTGGGAGGGATTCACAGCAACGTGTCTTCTGTTGTAAGTTGTTTATGTCACCCCATACTGTTGCTCAATCACACCTCGTACTCTCATATTTTTGTGAATTTCTACAGGAAATTCAGAGCATCTTTTGTCAGACTTCAAGGTGTTCCACGCCTGAGGGTTGCTTATATATAGCGCTGGTGAAGAAACGTGTTTTGTGCAGATCAAGGCGACCCATGAACCACAGACTCCGGAGCCCGGGGCAGAGAGCGGGGCACATGTGGAAAGCAGGAAATGAGAAGAGGTCGGCCCGGAAGGCTGCGGGTCTGGAGGGAGAGCGCACCACTTACTTAAATATTCTCTCGGTGGCTGCCGCGAGCTGGCATTTTCACCTAAGTCAGCCAGTTAGGCTTGCTCTGGAATCTGTGTTCACGTCTTTACTCAGTGTCCTGACAGACTCCCCAGAGCCTGTCTAGATGTTGCCGGGAAGGCAGTTTTCAGATGAGACTTACTTCTAACTGCAGACGCCGGGTGAAGCGGCTGTGGTGGGCCTCGTCCTTTCCACTGAGGTGCCCAAGCGAGGGAGGAGCCAGTGCAGCCAGCCCCCTTCAGACTCTGGCCGCAGCATCGCCTCCTCCGAGGGGCCTGGACAGAGGTTCCTGGCGCCTGCTGCCTTCTCCGGTCTCACCCTGGCACACGTGTTGGAAGCTTCCGTCAGTTTGTGTTTCCTTTCTCCTCCGCTTCTGCGTTTCTGCGTCTACCCCAGC